CCTCCTCCTCCCCCTCCTCCTCCTCCTCCTGCGGCACTGCGGGCAAAGCGGTCCTTCTCCGCCGAAGCCCGCGCTCTCCTCCTCCTCCTCCTCCTCCTCCTCCTCCTCCTCCTCCTGCTCCTCCTCCTCCTCCTCCTCCTCCTCCTCCTCCTCCTCCTCCTCCTCCTCGTTACAGCGCGGTTTCGCTGTGATCAGTGGAGTGCCCTTCCAAACGATCCGCGACAAACAGAGCCCGTGACCGGGGACGGCCCCCTGCCCTCTGCCCGGCACCGCGGCGGCGCCGCCAGGCCACGACCACGGGCGGAGCCGGGCCAGACGGCGCCAGCGCGAGTCCGTGACGTCACAGCCAGCCCGTATCGTAGGGACGCACGATAAGGAAGGGGGGCCCAGGGACACGCAAATAAATGTTGACTAGTATAATGCCCCCACCAGGGGGGGCCGCCACGGAGAGATCGACAGGGCGAGAGGGGAACGGTCGGGCCACGGCCCGTCGCACCTGGACGATGTATTTTCCACTCTCCAGGCGACCACGTCGCAGGCGACTTGTGTGAGAGAGAGGCTAGCCACTCCGAGGGCCCGCCGGCGTCTGAGGTCCAGCAACGCCGGGGCCGAAAAGGCGTCGGCCAACCAAGTCCAGCAGCTCATTAGCAGAACATTAACAGTACCTATATGCAAAGGGTGGCTCGCGGGCGGGGAGCAAAGAGGGGCTGTAGAGAGTTCTGTTCAGCCGTATCCTGGTACGGCACACGGTGGGGAGGCCCGCTGGACAACACATAGCGCGCGAGCACGTACAATGTTGACTAGTATAATGCCCCCACCAGGGGGGGCCGCCACGGAGAGATCGACAGGGCGAGAGGGGAACGGTCGGGCCACGGCCCGTCGCACCTGGACGATGTATTTTCCACTCTCCAGGCGACCACGTCGCAGGCGACTTGTGTGAGAGAGAGGCTAGCCACTCCGAGGGCCCGCCGGCGTCTGAGGTCCAGCAACGCCGGGGCCGAAAAGGCGTCGGCCAACCAAGTCCCATATCACAAAATGGAGAGCAGCTGGGGAGAAATTCCCATAACACTCCACTGGCCCATGGCCGCAAAGACACTACTCATGCCAGAAAAGAGAGTCCGCGAGCCTCGGCCTTGCAGGCTGCGGCCCGGACAGCAGGCGGAAGCTTGCGGATGGCCGCGAGGAGGCGGCCGGCCTTCTCATATCTCTGCACGCTGCGAAAAGAGGCCCAGCGCCCGCGCGCCTGGATCTCGGGCAGCGTCCTGGCACGGCGAAGGAAGTCCTCGCTGGGCCCCCCGTGCCTGGCAAGGTGAGGCGTGACTTTGAAAGGAATGCCTACGGCCTGGGCGGCCCGCTGCAGCACTTTATTGTACGAGGCATACGTGTGGCTAGGGAGCAGCGTCTGCGAGCGAGCACGGCGGGCCTGGCGGATGAGCGCTGCGAAGGCACCGACAACGCCAGGTCGGCTGGCCTCATCAAGGAGGACGGTGTCGTCCTGCACGCCGGTCTTGCTGGTGCGGATGCCGACGAGCTGGCCGGCCACCTGGCAGGACGGCGCGACAACCATCCCGTACTTGTTGTAGTGAGCCCCAGCGTGCATGCCCGGCGTGAAGCACGCGACCAGGGGCATGAGCACCAGCTCCGAGGGCCGCAGGTAGGTGTCGAACTGCACAACGAGGCCGCGGGCGGCCTCGAGGTCAGACTCGACGCCAGTCCGCGACAGGTGGTACGCCATCAGCACCGCGGCCGACCACGGGAGGGGATCCGAAGTCGAGTCAGGCTCCAGCTTGCCCCAGCCAGCCATGGCAGCGCGTGCGAGCGGGAGGACCCCAGGCTGGCGGAGGCTGACGTTGAAGTGGTCGGCGACAGCCGCCAGCGCATACCGAGCATCGCCCCGCGACCGCTCGGCCACGAAGAGCTCCTCGAGGAAGCGGTCGAGGGCAGCGTCGACGGCAGGGAGGTCGCGGGCGGTCCAGCGCGCCGGGTCCAGGCCCATCTGCGCGGCGAACTCGTGCAGGCTGGCGTGGTACCGCACGGCGGTCGTGGCGGTCACCCTCGAGCGCCGGAGGAAGCCAGGGTTGTAGTCAGCGGGCTCCCGTCGGACGCGAGGCCGCCGCGCGGCCACAACAGCGGCGGGGCGTCGGCGCACTGGGCCGCGGCCCTCGGCCGGAGCCTCCTCCAGCGGGGGGCCTCGGGGGCCCCCAGACGCCGCCCCACTGCTCGGCGTCCGACCTCCAGAGCGGGGCCCAGCGCGAGGGACAGGTCGGGCACGGGAGGGCCTGAGGACCGAAGTCGCAGCCCGCCGCCCGGCAGAGGTCAGCCTGCCATCGTTCCTCGAGTAGTGGAGCACCATCTGGCCTCTTGGCGCCGCGCGGCGCCGCCGCTGCCAAGATGCTGGCAGCGAGGTGGCAGGCGCCCGGGGGGTACGCGCCGGCCAACGTGGTCTTCCACTGATACTTGAGCCCTCCCGTGGACGCACGGACACGTACCTTCCCAGACAAGTGCTCGTGCCTGTGGCCCCCCTCGCAGAGCAGGCCGATGTCGTGCAGGGCCCCCAGACTTGAGACGATAGTGGTGGGCTTCTTGTAAGGCGCGCCGAACCGGCAGCAGTGATAGGTAGCCCAGGAGCGTGAGTGCTGGTCCAGGAACTTCCGGAGTGGGGCCCAACGGAAGAGGCCCGAGGACTGAGGGCTCCAGAGACCAGTGAATCCCGTAGCGGCTGCAGACCTCCAAGAGACGCACCGTGACGTGAGCACACCGTCGGGCTGCCCTGATGGCGGAGACCTCGCGAGCCCCTCGCCGAGAGATGGACCACGGGGTGCACGGGGTGCCGAAGTGGACGAACCAGACGGCCCGGGAGGTGATCCAGGAACGCACCTGAGACTCGACCTTCGGGTTGAGGAGGTCGCACCAGGGCCCGTGCTTGATGTCCATGGGGGCCGCGACGACGAGGCCCGCCTGGGCCAGGGCACCAGTCCAGCGCCCGCAGCCCGAGAAGACCTCCAAGGCAGCCCGGGGTCGCGGAGCCCGCGCAGCGGTCGGCGTAGTGGATGCAGACGTAGCAGGAGGCCGAGGGGACGGACCGTGATCTGACGTTTCATCCACTCGAATTGGCTGCATCCTGGGCCCGCACCGGCCCAAGCGGCCGGCCGATCCACGACAGGGCGGCGGCCGGCGGCGGGTGGAGCCCGTGCCTGCATCAGCGTGGCCGCCACGCGGCCGCCTCGGCCAAACCACCGAGGGCGCCGGGAGGCCCGGCGGGGGCGCGAGCCAGGCGGGCTTGCGCGGCCCCTGCCGGCCTCGCCGAAGGAGCACGTCACGCGGGGGGGCCGGCACGCGCCTGGGGTGCCTCGGCGGGCCGTCGCAGGGGAGCGGCCGAGGGGTGTGACGGCAGAGGTCTGAATCCCCCCCCCCTCGTCGGCACGCTGTGTCCCCTGCGACGGCGGGCGGCGCCAGGGCGGCGGCGGCCCGAGCGGAGCCCGCAGCGCCGGCAGCCAGCCCCAGGGGCGGCGGCGGGGGCGGAGCCGCACCGGGCCGTCCGGCACCCCCAGCGGCGCCGGCGCCAGGTCCCACGCGACGCTGTCCAGGGCGGTACAGGCCCTGCAGGGCCTTGCGCGAGCCACCGTCGCTGACGTTCCTCTCTGTGTCGATGTAGCGGCGCCGCCAGCGGATGCCGGTGGCCACCTGGATGGCGGCACTGCGCCTGCACACGGAGCCGAGGCCGACGTCGACGGCGCGGCCCTTCTCGGTCGAGAGCACCTCGGCCATGTTGTCCCCGAGGCTGAGGACGCGGCGCCCGTGGCACTCGAGGCTCCTGGAGGCGTGCCGAAGCCCCGCGAGGGCGATCCGGGCCTCCAGGATATGGATGGGCGCCCGCGTCCTCCAAGCACCCTCCACGACCAGCGACCAGGCGTCTGGGGCGACGAGCTCGTCGGGGATGTCCTCGAAGGTCGCCCGCCGCGGTGCCTGGGCAACCCGAGCCCGCACGGTACCGTGGGGGCGCTCGTCGGCCCTCCTCGGCGGCGGGGCCCAGGTCGCGATGCCGCAGCTGGGGTCCCCCTCTCCGAGCACCCCTCCAGCGCCAGGAAGCCAGCCAGGCGTGTAGGTGTCGTCCTCCAGGGCCTCGGGCCGCTTCTCGTCAGGCGTGAAGCGCCAGCGCTCCCGAAGCCGCGCGAGCCGGCGCACCGCCTCGGGGTCGCAGCGCCGGCGGTGCAGGGCGTAGCCCGCCTCGGAGGAGTCGGAGCAGAGCACGATGTCCGACACGGGCGCGGCGAGGTCGACGACCGCCTGGAAGATGAGCCCTCGGAAGACGCGGACCTCCTGCCGAGCGGGACTCGGTAGAGGGGAAGGCGGCCCGAGTCGGCACTCATCCACGTACCTGTAGAGGTGGCGGAAGATGGACATGGCTGGCCGCAAGAGGAGGCAGTGCTGGATGAAGTGCCCGAGGACGACCCGCACCTGCCACGCAGCACGGGGCACGCCCGGGCGCTCCAGCTCCAGGCAGGCGAGGTAGAGCCGCCAGGCCCGCTCGTCGGAATGGCGCAGAGTCCGACGGGCGCCATCATACACCACGCCCACCATACCGAACTCGAGGGACGGCTCGCAGACCTCGTGGTACACGATGCCCCGGCGGTCGAGCTCCTCCATGACGCTGGCCAGGCCCGCCGCGGCATCAGCGACGGAGAGGCCCAGGATCCCCACGTTGTCGACGTAGACGGAGCCGGCGGGCCTGCCCGGTGCCGCCGGGCGCGGCGGCTGACGGTCCAAGACGAGGCTCGCAGGCCCGCCCGAGAGCGCGTGACCCACCCACGAAGTGACCGAGGAGTGAACGACCCAAAGAGCCCAGCTCCAGCCCATGGCGACGCCACGGAAGGCGGGGAACACCACCTCGTCGGCGCCGACGGGGATGAGGCGGCCGTCCTCCCAGACGTGCGTCGCCCCGTACACCGACGCGGGCTCGGGGTAGTCCATGCCGAAGTCCTCCGCGAGGGCGTCCGAGCAGAACTGGTAGAAGCTGTCGGCCAGGTCGAGCGAGGCACCGTAGATGGCGGGCGCCGAGGCCGCGTCGGAGGCTCCCAGGGCGGCGTCCGACCAGTCCTGCTCCGCGAGCGCGGCCGGGGTCCCGAGGGCAGCGTGCGGAGGACTCCAGTGGGTCCGGTTCGTCTCGCGGGCGTCGACCACGAGCCTGATGAACCCACCCTTCTTCTCGACGAAGAAGCAGCCCACGCGAGCACGAATGCGCCGACGGTAGCCGACAAGGCCTCGCTCCGCCAGGCGGCGAACGAATCTGACCCGCGCGTCGGGCGAGCCAGCGAGGTGAGGGTCCCAGTAGGGCACGATGGGGTCGAGCCCCTCCGCATCCGCCAGGAAGACCCTGTCCGGCTTCCGCACGTACCGATCGGGGTCGGCGAAGGCGCGGACGACGAAGTCGGGGCAGATGTCCTCGACGCACTTCGGGACGATCTTCGACTTCCAGAACTTGAGCTTGTCCTCGCAGTAGGGTGCGACCTTGGAGGGCGCCCCGGCGTACAGCGAGTCGGACTTGAGGAGCTCCTGAAGGGCTCCGCGAGGTGTGAGCCCAGGCGGCCGCGGGCCGTGCCGGCCGATGTTGCGACGCAGGTGAGCGAGGCAACTGGCCTGCGTGGCGGAGGGCGCGCCGGGCGTGGTGGAGCCACGGGCTGGCACGCTGCCGAACCCGTGGACCGAGGCTCGGGAGAGGTCGTTGATCGAGCGAACGGCCTCCCGAAGTCGGTGTTCGCGACAGCGACGACGTACGGCACGGAGGGCCAGATACCTCGGCGCGTCAGCCAGGTCCACGAACCCGGAGGGCTGCGGGACCGGAAGGGGCAGAGGCTCACCATGACGGCGATGATCGCGACGAGCCATGCCGAAGAAGCCAAAACTGCGGACGTGGAGGAGCCCACGCCGAGAGGGCCGGCCCAGCGGCGCGGGGCGGTGCACCCGCGGGCTGGGACGGCAGGGTAGGGGGCCCCTCGCCCGCCTACCCACTGCCCTCCTTCTTGGGATGCTTCGGCGGCTTGTCCTTCGAGCCGCCCGCCGAAGTCTCCTCCCGCCACTGCCTCCCCGCCTTCATGATGGCCGCCTCGGACCGCTGCTGCTCGCCGACCCAGGCGTCGAAGGCCGGGGGCACGAAGCCGCCGGACTCGTCGATGGCGGCGTCCAGCACCACGTCGAGCCCGTCGAAGTCGGGCTGCCTCGGGTTCCGCCTGGTGGCGGCCTCGAGCTGCTTCAAGCGGCGCACCATGTACTCCACTCCCGCCACGTTGTAGAGGTCGAGCTGGTCGAACTGCTGCATGATGCGGAGCACCGAGCAGAGCATCCGGTGCTCGCGGGCGGTGTTGCTCTTCTCCGGGATGCCGGACCTCCTGACCCACGTCGTGTGGTGTTCGTCCCAACCCTCCTGTCCGGCATCCCGAAGAGCGAGGCAAGCCTCGCGCGTAGCCCGTTTCCCCTTGAGGGGCCACCCAGGGACGGCCTGCTCGCGCATCTTCGAGACCGAGGTGCGGAAGCTCATGAAGCGGTCCTTCTCCTCGTCCCGCTCGTCGCCGGCAATGCGCGGGTCGCGACCAGGCCCTCCACGAGCCCGAGCCTGCCACTCCTCGAAGGAGCCGCCGGCCTCGACCCGCACCGCTGTCTGCCACACATCGTCGATGAGCACAAGGCCCACCTCGCCCCGGCGGATGAGCAGCTCGTCGTTGCCCATGGCGGCCGCGGGCACCTCCTCCCCGTAGTGGAGCGAGGTCGGGTCCGAGACGAACCAGCGCTCGTCCCCGGCGAGGGGGGCGGCCGAGGCAGGGTACCCGAGGATGTCCCCCAGCGCCCGCGCCTCGCGGTAGTACTGATGCATCTCTGCGGCGTCCACGTCGGCATCGTCGAAGACGTACATGTTGCCCCGGTGGCGGTCGGGGAAGGCGCCCCCCCGCTGGAGGGCGCACACGCGCAAGCCACCCAGGTTGGCCGCCGCAATCTCCCCGTCGGGCGTGACCCAGACCCACCATTGGTCCGGCCCTTTGACGAGGAGGACCCTGTGGTGCCACTGGAAGTTCTCGTCGTCGTCGTACCGCACCAGGCACTGGGCGTAGGGCACGTCAAGCGCCCTCGGCATTCACGGCACCAGCCCGCCTCCGCACTCGCTGGAGGGTCGCCGGCGTCGCCGCACCCGCGCGCTCCCCAGCAGGGCCCTCCGCGAGGGCCAGCGGCGGCAGGACGGCGCGAGGCGCCCCCGCCCGAAGCAGCCAGGCGGCCGCAGCGGCCACGCCGGCGGCGAAGCTCGCGAGCCCGACGAGGACCGCGAGCGCCCAGGCCCCGCACGGAGCCGCTGGGGCCGGGCACTGCGGACAGACGCAGGCCGGGCACGCGGGGCAGGCCGCCCCGAGGTGCTCCGGGCCGCAGCGCGAGAGCTGCTCCCGGAGGATGTCCAGCACGCCCGAGCTCGGCTCGTGCCCGCTGAAGACGCAGGTGCAGGACGGGTCCGCGGGCGGCGCCGGCGCGGACCAGCGGGACGCGAGGATCCCAAGAACCCAGCCAGCCGCCGCCTGCATGCACGGGGCGGCGAGACTGGTGCCCAAGAAATCCTTGAGCAAAGAGGGGCTGTAGAGAGTTCTGTTCAGCCGTATCCTGGTACGGCACACGGTGGGGAGGCCCGCTGGACAACACATAGCGCGCGAGCACGTACAATACACACAAATCCCCAGGACTTCCTCATATTTTCCCCTGTGTTTTGTATCTTCGTCTTCCCCACCACCACGTCCCACATTTTCGCACATCTTCCAGGGAATCGACGATTCAGTGTGTCTGTGTTTTTCCCTCCTGAGATAGGGATGCCAGGGCCTTGGAAGGCCATACCGGCACTTTGCGAGCGGGACGCGGCTAACGAAAGCGACCGAGGTTGGGCCGACGGGGCAGGACGCGAGGGTAAGCTTGGAAGGTCCCTCATCCTTGCTGTGCGGGTTGACCGCACACACCTCCGCTGCCAGGGGACCCGCTCTTCCAGGACACCTAATGTTGTGGATGCCACGACAACGGACCCTAACAGTCCTATCATTGAACTTAAAATGTGTTTAACATGTCGGAACAATGTTATACATATGTGCTTAACATGTTTTTACATGCCGAAACCATATGTCTTAGACATTTGGAAATGATTTGGCAACATGCTTCCTCTCCATTGATCGCCCTCCATCTTGCCTTCGCGGGGGCTGCATCGCGCGAGGGGATATCCTCACTGTTCGGGCTGGCTTCCTCGCGAGAGCACCGCGCGAACGGCCCCGTGCCCACCCCCCGGCGATCTGCCCCCGCTGCGGCCGCTGGAGCTCAAACGAGATGGACGCCAGATGAGGAGGAGGAGGACGAGGAGGAGGAGGAGGACGAGGAGGAGGAGGAGGAGGAGGAGGAGGAGGGGAGGAGGAGGAGGATGAGGAGGAGGAGGAGGAGGAGGAGGAGGAGAGGAGGAGGAGGAGCAGGGGAGGAGCAGGAGGAGGAGGAGCAGGAGGAGGAGAGGGCGGTACTGGAGAGGTGGGGGGGGGTGCAGGCTCCCAGGGGCGGCCGAGGCAGGGGAGATGGGAGCAGATCCCCCCCTGGCACCCCGCATCGGCGGGAGGGGGCTCGAGATGTGTTGGGGTGCCCCCGAGGGGGGAGCGGAGGGCGAGGCCCTCCTCCTAGGGCACCCCAACACGTCTCGAGCCCCCTCCCGCCGATGCGGGGTGCCAGGGGGGGATCTGCTCCCATCTCCCCTGCCTCGGCCGCCCCTGGGAGCCTGCCCTCCTCTCCAGTACCGCCCTGCTCCTCCTCCTCCTCCTCCTCCTCCTCCTCTCCTCCTCCTCCTGCTCCTCCTCCTCCTCCTCCTCCTCTTCCTCCTCCTCCTCCTCCTCCTGCAGTGGGATGAAGCGAGACTGGATGACGGGCTTCGCCCCTCGGCGGGAGGAATCGGCGCGCCACCGCCGCTTGGCCCGAGGCCCGACCACCGGGGCCGCGGGGCTTCGACTCGCGCGCGGAGCGCGGCAGGGCGGCGAGCGGGAGGACGGCCGCAATCCCTGCGGCCCCGCCGCCCCTCAACAAAAAAACACGCCAGGCCCAGGGCTCTCTCTCTCTCTCTCTCTTTCCGCTGCCCAGCCTGGCCTCGGCCGCCTCCGCCGCCGCCGGCAGCGCGTTGAAGACCGCGTTCGCCTGCAGCCGAGGGCCAGCCGCGAGCAGGTCCCCTCTCCCCTCCAACTCCTCTCCCCCCCTCCCCCTCCCGCTCGATGCCTCTCCCTCCCCTCCAACTCCGCTCCCCCTCCCCCTCCCCCTCTCCTCTCCCCCTCCCCCTCCACAAGTAAACAATATGAATACTACTCTCCTCTCTCCCCTGGTGGCATCTGGGGAATGTCCAGTACTATTTTTTGGTTAGCACAGGATTCCCGAGAGTTGGGTTGTCGCTTAGGTTTGTTGTTTGAAATGCTGCTCTCGCTGGAGCGCTGGCCTCGATGTTCGGGCTACCACTCGTTCCGAATCGTGTTCCCGCTGCAGCGCTGGCTTCTTTTCCGCGCTTCAGCTCGTTCCGAATCGTGCTCCCGCTGCAGCGCTGGCGTCATTATTACCAGCACCATGCCAGGGCATGCCTTTCGGTCCTTCCAAATGGCTCCAAAATTTAGAAAATGCCCCCCGAAACCATCGGGAGTGATTACCCATTCGGTGCCGTTTCGTTGATTTTTGGGGCAGTAGAAGCCCCCCACACTTTGGGGCGTCGCCACGCCAGGCTATGTCAGGCTACGCGTCCTCATTTCCGCGCTTCCGCGCTTTTTTTCTCCCAATGCTGCTCTCGCTGAAGCGCTGGCCTCAATTCTCGGGCTACCGCTCGTTCCGAATCGTGCTCCCGCTGCAGCGCTGACCTCATTTCCGCACTTCCGCTCGTTCCGAATCGTGCTCCCTCTGCAGCGCTGGCGTCATTATTTCCCATGCCATGCCACGGCATGGTTTTCGGTCCTTCCAAATAGGCTCCAACATCTAAAACATGGCCTCCCGAAGAATCCATCGGAAGTGATTGCACATTCGGCGTCGATACGTTGATCTTTTGGGCCGCGGAAGCCCCCACCGCGTCGGCACGCCATGCTATGTCATGCTACGCGTTAAACTTCAACACCATGCTATGCAATGTATTGCTATGCCATGCTACGACATCCGACTGTGCGAATAGAGAGGATATCTACACCATGGTAAGGGATGGGAGGGAGGGGTAGGACGTCAGATATGACACGAACGCACCTAGCTTGCCCATCCCCCTCTCCTCCCTCTCACTGCCTCCTTCTCCCCGTCTCCCCCCAAAAGGAAACGGAGGCCGAGGCGGAGGAGCAACGGCAAGAGGAGAAGGAGTAGGAGGAAAAACGGCAGGAGAAGCAGAAGGAGGAGGCAGCAGAAGTCGGGAGCGTCCAAGAGGGGGGCGTCCAAGAGGGGGGTTCGCAAATCATGGCTGGTGGCATGTGCGCGGCCCAGGGGAGGGCGAGGACGTTTTGAGGTAAGAAGAGGCGCCATGAAATATGGGTGGATATCATGGCCCCCGCAATGATATCCACCCCTCCTAGTCATCCCCCCCCCCTTGGCCTCCCCCGAAAGAGCGAATAAGGGAGGGAGGCCGGAGGGAGAGTCGGCCTGGGTTGTCTGCAGTGCTGTGAAGTCAACCCGAAGTCTCTGCTGTACAGTGCTCGCTCTGCTATATGTTTCAGTCGTTCCATTCACTCTGTTGCCCTAATTTGGGCTTCAACTGTCGCGCCCTCCCCAGGGCTCGCGGTCCTCAACCTCGCAACCCCTTCCTTGGAACCGGCTGTTCGAGCTGCTACGGCCCCAAGGTCCCCAAAAACGAGCCTCCCGATGCCAACATTGCAGGAAGAAGTCAGGCTCTATCTTGTTTGAGTCTCTGGATGCCTGGTTCGAGAAAAAACATGCTTCGACTCAAAAGCATCACAAAACAAGCCTGATGCCCCGGTGGCTACCTCCCGAAGCGTACCGCCGAGGACGTGTGAACAAGAAGGGAAAACCAGAGCAGAGGAGGGCGCGGACAGAGAAAAGAGGCCCAGGCGTGCGCGCGGAAACCCTATGGGAATTTCTGCCCATTCAGCCATGTGTATCTGAGTCGCTCAGCGAATTAATGTAAAACACAGCATGGAGATGGCAATGGCCATGAATGGCGAATGCCAATCGAATGTAATATGGAAATGAGCACGCGTACGAATACGAGAACGAATGTGAATGCGAGCGCAAGTGCGAATATGCTTACGGACATGGGTATGAATGACAATCGGACCAATAATGAAATCACTAAGATGCATACGGCTCTGAAAATGGTTACGAGAATGGCTGCGAATGCCGACCTGGATGTGACTAGGACTGAGAACGTGAAGGCAATTACGAAACATAAAACACTTACCCGGCAAAGCAACCTAACAGCGATGTGTATAAGCATATCTGGAAGCATACCCCTTAAGATTCAGGTGAGAATCCAGTTGTAGAATTCTGCTGTTCTCGCAGTCGCAGTCGCATTCGCAATGACAGTCGCAGTGGCAACGGCCTTAGGATCCAATGGAATCCTAAGGATTCATAGGGATTCCTAAGGCATCCTTAGGCATCCTTGGGAATACATAGGAATCCTTAGGAAACCTTGCGAATCCTGATTCCTATGAATTCCTAAGGATTCCTAAGGATTCCTAAGGATTCCTAGGGAATCCTAGGGAATCCTAAGGATTCCGAAGGATTCGTCTGCCTCAGCATCAGCCTCAGCCTGCCTCAGCCTCAGCCTGCCTCAGCCTCAGCCTCAGCCTGTCTCAGCCTCAGCCTGCCTCAGCCTCAGCCTCAGCCTCAGCCTCAGCCTGCCTCGGCTTGCCTCGGTCTCAGCCTCAGCCTGCCTCGGCCTCAGCCTCAGCCTCAGCCTCAGCGTCAGCCTCTCAGCCTCAGCCTGCCTCAGCCTCAGCCTGCATCAGCCTCAGCCTCAGCCTGCCTCAGCCGCAGCTTGCCTCAGCCTCAGCCACTGCCTCAGCCGCAGCCTCAGCCTGCCTCAGCTTCAGCTTCAGCCTCAGCCTCAGCCTCAGCCTCAGCCTCTCAGCTCAGCTTCAGCCTCAGCCTCAGCTTTCCTCAGCCTCAGCCTGCCTCAGCCTCAGCTCAGCCTCAGCCTCAGCCTCAGCCTCAGCCTCACTCAGCCTCAGCCTGCCTCAGCCTCAGCCTGCCTCAGCCTCAGCCTGCCTCAGCCGCAGCTTGCCTCAGCCTCAGCCACTGCCTCAGCCTCAGCCTCAGCCTGCCTCAGCTTCAGCCTCAGCCTCAGCCTGCCTCGGCCTGCCTCAGCCTCAGCCTCAGCCTGCCTCGGCCTCAGCCTCAGCCTCAGCCTGCCTCAGCCTCAGCGTCAGCCTCTCAGCCTCAGCCTGCATCAGCCTCAGCCTCAGCCTCAGCCTCAGCCTCAGCCTGCCTCAGCCTCAGCCTCCCCTCAGCCTCAGCCTCAGCCTCGCCTCAGCTCAGCCTCAGCCTCAGCCTCAGCCGCCTTCAGCCTCAGCCATCAGCCTCAGCCTGCCTCAGCCTCAGCCTGCCTCGGCCTCAGCCTCAGCCTGCCTCAGCCTCAGCCTCAGCCTCCGCCTGCCTCAGCCTCAGCCTCAGCCTGCCTCAGCCTCCGCCTGCATCAGCCTCAGCCTCAGCCTGCCTCAGCCGCAGCTTGCCTCAGCCTCAGCCTCAGCCTGCCTCAGCCTCAGCCTCAGCCTGCCTCAGCCTCAGCCTCAGCCTCAGCCTCAGCCTGCCTCGGCTTGCCTCAGCCGCAGCCTCAGCCTGCCTCGGCCTCAGCCTCAGGCTCAGCCTGCCTCAGCCTCAGCGTCAGCCTCTCAGCCTCAGCCTGCCTCAGCCGCAGCCTCAGCCTCAGCCTGCCTCAGCCTCAGCCTCAGCCTGCCTTAGCCTCAACTTCAGCCTGCCTCGGCCTCAGCCTGCGTCAGCCTCAGCCCCAGCCTGCCTCAGCCTCAGCCTGCCTCAGCCTCAGCCTCAGCTTGCCTCGGCGTGCCTCAGCCTCAGCCTCAGCCTGCCTCGGCCTCAGCCAGCCTCAGCCTCAGCCTGCCTCAGCTCGGGCATTCAAAATATTGCAGGACTGGTGTTCTGGGAACACGAAGATCACGAAATGGCCCACAGTTGGCTCTGGGCAATAAAATATGGTGCGGGAATGGTGTTCCGGGAAGACGAAGAACACGAAGTGGCCTACACTTGGCTCCGGGCATTCAAAATGTGGCCTGGGAATGGTGTTCTGGGAAGACGAAGAACACGAAGTGGCCTACACTTGGCTCTGGGCATTCAAAGTGTGGCCTGGGAATGGTGTTCTGGGAAGACAAAGAACACGAAGTGGCCTACACTTGGCTCCAGGCATTCAAAATGTGGCCTGGGAATGGTGTTCTGGGAAGACGAAGAACACGAAGTGGCCTACACTTGGCTCCGGGCATTCAAAATGTGGCGTGGGAATGGTGTTCTGGGAACACGAAGAACACGAAGTGGCCTACACTTGGCTCCGGGCATTCAAGATGTGGCCTGGGAATGGTGTTCTGGGAATGGATTCCTAAGGATTCATAAGAATTCTTGATAGTTCCTAAGGATTCCTGGGGCTGCCGGATCTGCCGGATCCTCTGCCCAGTTCCCGCCCAGACGTCCCTGGGGCGTCAAGATGCTCTCTTTTGGAACCACGAAAAACCAATCAGCAAAAGCTGTTAGGTAATTATGAACATGCAAACGCAAGTGCAAACGATGTGAATCTGAGTATGGCAGGAGAGCCCATAATCGAATCGAGAAGTCGAATCGACGATCGCAAGTCATCGACCGGCGGAAATCGGCAGCCAAGTCGGGAGGAGCCGAAACGGCTGCCATCGGCAGAGCAGCAAGGCCGAATCGAGACATCGGAATCCGAATCGGAGCCTGGAGTCATAATCGGAATCGGCATCGGAACCCGTCGAGGCCGCATCGAATCGGATCGGAGGAACAGAAGCGAGCCCTGAGCATGGCAAACTCAGGCGAGCCGAGGCGAGGCGAACTGAGGCGAGGCGAGACGAGACGAGGCGAGGCGAGACGAGGCGAGGCGAACCGAGGCGAGGCGAGACGAGAGAGCGCGCCGTGCCAGCGCGCCCGCCGGCCGCGGGGTGACTGCCGTCGGCCGAGGGAGGGCGCGCCCACGGGACGACGAGGTAGAGCCGGCCGTCCGGCTCCTGTGCCGCGGGGCCTCCTCCCTCCCTCCTCCCTCCTCCTCCTCCTCCTCCTCCTCCTCCTCCTCCTCCTCCTCCTCCTCCTCCTCCTCCTCCTCCTCCTCCTCCTCCTCCTCACTCCTCACTCCTCCTCCTCCCTCCTCCTCCTCCATCATGCCCCGACCTTCATGGCCCCTAAGCTGGACCTTGCTCAGCACGAAACGGTGCGCAGAGTCAAGGAGGGGGCCAAGCTATGTGTGTGTGGATACCTGACAGCCTGTCTAAGTTGCTTGTCAGGTCCCGTGCCACTACCCCTCAACATCGCTTGATGGCTGCAAACGACCAGGGCCTACCAGAGGCTCCTAGCATGCCGTCTGAGGCAGCGCGTACGGCCCTACAGTGGGCTGATGTGGTAAAGCTAGCGCGTCCGGCTCGATGTGGGTTCCAGCTCATGGCGAATCATCCGTTCCGCCGTCTGATGCTCTCGTTGAGCTCCGTGGGCACCAGGTGTTGGTGACACAGCGAGGTGCCATGGTGTGCGCCCAGGCTCCTAAATATAACCTCAACTTGGACTGCAAGGGTCCAGCCGGGGACAAGCCTGCCAGAGCACGACAGCGATATAACATCGCTGCTATCCAAGCTGGCAAGCAACCCGAGACGGGAATGAAGCTCGTCTAATGTTGTGGGCCTCGCGCCCAATGGTGGCCCGTGCTCCTGTTCCTCAATTGCACGACTGGTCATCGGCGTTGGTCCTCCTCCTCCTCCTCCTCCTCCTCCTCCTCCTCCTCTTCCACCACCCTCCTCACTCCTCCTCCTCCCTCCTCCTCCTCCTCCTCCTCCTCCTCCTCCTCCTCCTCCTCCTCCTCCGCCTCCTCCTGAGCCCGAGACCAGCCCGCAGAAGACAACACCTACAGCCCTGGATCTCTGGGCTGCCAGACATCCGGCGATATTTGTTTACAATCCGCGGCCCCAGAAGTCCTGGCCCCTTCCCTGCAGTCAAGTCGCATGGTAAGGCTGCGCGGTAAGGACGCAAGGGCCTGGGAAGGCTATGGGAAGGCTATGTCGACGCCTTTCGAGCGGGGCGCGGCCAGCGAAAGTCGCCAAGGATGGGCCGAATGGGCAAGGATGCAAGGGCAGCCTTGGAAAATTGCTCATCCTTACTATGCGCCGTGACTGTAGGGACATGTTTCGCCCCCTGGAGAAACGCCAGCAGCGCGGCACAGCTTTGTGATTGATTTTGTGTCTCCCCCTCCTCCTCCCCTCCCTCTTCCCGCTCATTCGCCTCCCCCTCCCCCCTGGCCCGCAAGAGGTAGGTTAGAGAGCAGGCGTGCCGCCTTCTCCCGCGGAGCGGTGAGAATAGCTGGCAATGTACTCCTTCGCCCGCGCGCTCCGGCGCATGGCTTGTCTGCCTGTCGGGCTGGAGATAGGGAGCCCACAAAGGACGTACGCGCCCAGCTATGTACATGAACACGGCCCCTCGATCCGTGAGACCGGCCGCGTTATACGAACATTTGCGCAATGTGAACTCTCGAAACTAGCGTGGATTCATGTACATGTACGTCCTTTTTCCGCTCTACTTGCAAGGAGGAAAGACTGGTCTACTCTGTAAGAACGGTTTTTTGAAGGCAGATCTGCCTTCAAAAAACCGTTCTTACATTTTTTGAAGGCAGATCTGCCTTCAAAAAACCGTTCTTCTTTTGAAGGCAGATCTGCCTTCAAAAAACCGTTCTTACATTTTTTGAAGGCAGATCTGCCTTCAAAAAACCGTTCTTCTTTTGAAGGCAGATCTGCCTTCAAAAAACCGTTCTTACAGAGGAGAGGCGCCACGGCCGAACAGACCTTGCCGCCGGACGTCTGGGCTGCAGCCTCCGGCCACGGCCCACTTGCGCTGCGCCTCGGCGGGCCTCGCCCACGCAAAAGGCTCCCGGAGAGAGCGGGCCGGGGCCGCAGAGCACGGCCGTCAGAGGCGTGCTGGATGGGCGGGATGCGATCCGCGTCGCGGGGCGGAGAGGGGGAGGAGGAGCCAGAGGAGCAGGAGGAGGAGGAGGATGAGGGGGAGGAGGGGGAGGGGGGATGCGGGATGATTGTGGTATAATGTGTCTTGGGATACTCGCATTATGCATCGCACCATCGCACGCGTGCTCGCACGCGCGCTCTGTCTTCGCTAATGGAGTCATATTCTCAACTACGGACGGCCATCACATAATTATATGTTACGGTCGCTTCGCACCAGCAGCATTCTCAACTAACAATCTTCCACTTCTGAAGTTGTATGGTTTTGCTCCATATACCAGAACAAGACATTTTCTGGGTGCCAATATGCGCAGTTCGAACCGCCCGTGCGCCGTGAAAGTCCTATCAGCTAGCGAACGAATCAACGACAGAAGACATGTCAAATGCTTGTCTATAGGACGGCACATGTCACTTAATGAACATATGGCCAGCGTGATGGGGCCGAACGGTCACTCACTGTCCCTGGATGCGTGGCTGAAATTGGATTCCGCGTTGCGGGTGCTTTCTGTTGTCCTTGCTTGTTTTCTTAACTCCCCCCCTCCCCCCCCCCCTCCCGCGACTCATCCTCAACCCATCTGCGACAAGCCCGCGACCTACCGCGTAACCAGTCCGCGACTCACCCGCGACCCGCACGCACGCAAACTCGTCCAACTCCACCCCCCCCTCTCTCCCGTCCTCACTCTTATCCGCCATTGCGGGGGGGCTATGTAAACGAACGCACTTCCACTTACATTCTCTACTTCGTGCGCCTCAATGTAAAAACTGTCCGCTTAACGGACTTCTTCTGCAGAGGTGCACGAAGGCAGAAGGCTGCTGGCCTTTTGGCCGCAGGCTTGCGAGGAGCTGACGGCGCGCGCGAAGCACCTGGACCTTTCGCAGAAGTCGCGCGCGAAGCTGCAGGCCTACGCAAGGCAATGCGCTTGACTGGCGCGTTCGGAGCCTCACCGACTGAGTTGTCCTTGGCACGCTCAATCTTACGCTTAATTGCTTGTCTCTTCTCAAACAACGGCAGGGCGGCAGGCGCGAGAAGATCAGATCCCTCGCGCTGCAGCTGCTCACAGTATGACAACCAGTCAGCCGACGGGATTGTCATCGAGGCGGCGGCTCTTGCCAACACGTCGCCTTGTCTGAGCTGGCGCAGCGTTGGGCTGTGCATCGCTGTATTGTGGGACAGCAGCCTGCCGAATTTGTTGATGCCAAAATGAAGCTCGGCCGTGGTGGAAAACCATTCAGCCCCAGTCCTACACCATTGGTTAATGTGGCGGTGCACAGTCTCGTTGCCAGACGTGCCCGACGACATCAGCGACAGTCTCGAAAGGGGCAGCGAGTGCCTGTGCCTCTGGTTATTGAAATAAAAATGCAACTTGCGCGGCGACGTCGCATTGAAAAGAAGTCTCTTCAGAGTAGAACCATCTGCTGACTTCCTTCTCACTTCCACGGAGTAGACTTTGCTCAGCGCGGCCAGGGACTTAATGAACTCGAACGGCGTGGTCCAGGGCACGTCGCCGTCCAAACGACTCAATATGTTCCGCGCGTGCTTCTCGCCCATTGACGACTGCAATATCTGAGACCTCGCGTCGTTCTCCGAGATGCTGAATACAATATTCTCTGCGCCTGTGTGAGGGGGGCCCCGCTGATCGCTCGGCAGGTCGCTGCGCTCCTTCGTCAGCTTAGCCATCATCAGCCGAAGCACCCTGGACCCTGGCGAACGCTTGTTTCCATTCGCGTACTCATAAGCAATGGGCAAGTGCACGGGGTCCAGGGACAAATAATCCAAATTCGGAAACACTTCTCTGAGATGCTCGAAGAGTGTGCCGCTGCATTGGTCGGACGCAACCGAAGTTACCTGATCGCAGCAATACTGAGGCCACATGCTCTGCAATGTATCTCGGATAACAGGGCTGGCCTCGTTGCGAACCAAATACATCCCCACTAGCGCACCCGTGCGACCAAGCACTGTAAGGACACGACGAGGTGCCTCCGCATCAGGCACAAGGGCCGCGTCTCGCACTGCTGCGGAAAATCGAAAGTCGGCTTGCCCTCGCACGCGCATCATCACCTGCCCAGAAGACAACGCGACATGCACTTCCTCACTCCCCATCTCTGCAACAACCCGCCCCTCGCCCTGCCCCTCTCCTCCGTTCTCCCGCAGGGGAAGTTCAAGCACATCAAAAAAGATATTAGGCGGGGTCGCAAGGGCCCCTCCTCCGCACCATCCACCCCCCTCCCTTTTTTACGCACCCCTGGCCCGGAAAGTTGCATCCATTGATATATGCTCAAACTCTTTGTGATCGGCGCACTCGCGCATCATGAACTGCTCGCGTTCCGCGATGAATGGGCAAGCATACGCGTCTTCCAAGAGCTTCAACCAGTGGACCACGTTCGTGGGAAGCAGGCTCACCAGCTCCGAACCCTGGCACAGCAAGCGCTGGGAAATATTAGGAACCATTGACCGAACTCTGGCATGGTGCAACAAAGAAACCTGCGCCAATAACTCGGCAAAGCCGCGTGCATAATACGTGTACCCCGCTCTGCGGCAGCCACCGGCTTGAAATATCGATGATTTGTTCTGGTATCGGGGACCGTCCTCCGATAGCACCAAGACAATCTCTCTGTCAATGCACGTGTGGTCGCTGCGGAGCGACGGCGTGATCGAAGACCGCATGAGAGCAGCAGACCTTCCCAAATATGAGCCCCCATCTGCTCGGCGCAGCTTATCAGAATCGAACAACGCAGATATCACATTTAGTTGTTTCCTGCCGCTCGCCACGTAGTTCTTACTCTTGACGTGGTGCCTCTTCACGCGGGCGGTCAACAGCCGAGAAGAGCTGAATTTCCTGAAAGGACACAGGGCGCAATCAAAGGTCTCACAACCCCGCGTGCCCGTAATTCCCTGGAGATACGCATCCCTCTCACCACGGAGCATTCCCGAAAGAACAGAGGAGACGTCCACTGTGGACTCGTCGTTGGCATATCCTGGCGACTCCTCTGCAAGTTGCAATTCGGCGCTGCCTGCGCCCGCCTGCAAGTCCAAGAGCTCGCCCAAGTCAGCGACACAGTCGTGCTCTTGGTATATTGATGATGGCGGGGAGCCCTCTCGTCCAACGTGGAAAGTCACCATGGATGCCTTGTCGAGGGCCTGGGCGCTCGCGCAGGCCACTGCAAAGAAAGGCAGTTGCACCTCGCGGCTCGTACTTGCATGCAACTCCGTGTGGGCGCCCGCGAGATTCCGAATGAATGATGTAGGAGCCCGACGTCATGGGGCTAAATCCAAAATGCGGCTCCATGAGAACTTTGTACTCTCGTGCACTTTCGCGATAAGACCTGACCCCGCTTGACTCGGCGGTCTCATCCCAAGCAGACTGAGTCGCCAAAGCATTCGGGATGTTCACTGCGGACACGCCGAGGTAGTGGATGGCCGCGGGGATGCAATTGCCGTCGGCATCTAGCAAAGCACCATGTTCTCCGCCATGAGAAATTGCCTGTCGGCCCGTCGCGCTCTGCTCTAAGAGTTCGAGAAAATAAAAATGCTGCTTCTCAACGATTTCCACTGCAAAACCAGTTTGCCCAGCAATGTGCACCGCGGCGTCCGCGCAGAATGCCTCGACGGACCCGTGCGTGGCTGTCACGCGAGATCGATCTACCCTGACCCCGTCGTAGTGAAGCGACAGATGCTGAACTGGATGTTGCAGAATCCAATCCATCCAGACCCGCAGGATGAAATCCTCACCACGGCTGGAAACAAGCACTGGATACCGCAAACGCTATTTGGTTCGCCGTCCAGCCCACGTCACCCCTTTCCGCCTCTCGATTTTTGTTTATCTGCCTTTAAGCCAAGTGCCCCGCAAAAAATAGGGGGATGGGGCGGTATCCAGCATTTGGTTCTTGCCGATCGCCTCCGCTCTCTGCCGCCAGATAGCGAATACCGACGCCTCCGCGAAAGTCTTCTGCGCATCCGAAGCCAGGAGCTTATACTCTTCATAATTGCACGAGCAAGCAATCCAACGCAGTAGGACGCTAAGAGATTGCACCTGGTGAACGAACGGGCTGTCTGCGACAGAGCTGGGCAGCGCCTTCTGGCCCCCAATGAGAGACAGCAGCAATTATTTGGCTCCAGCATGATAGCCAGGCATGCTCTCAGCTAAAATGCGGTCTCTGTTTTCTGCTAGATCTTTCCTCGGCGTTCCGATGGCGGATCGCGCGCGGTGTTTCGAGATCCGATCTCCGGCTGATCAAACGCACGATCGGAAGATCCCGCCTGCCAGTCAATCGCCCTATCAAGTAGAGCACCAACAGACCAATCAGATCACCAGATCACGCGTTGGCCTACCAACCTGCAGACAGATCAAACAATCAAGAGATCAATGACTAAGCGGCCTGTGTCGCAATGCCTCAACCAACCAAACAACCAACCACTCAGCCATAGGAGGCGCTTCAACGGGAAAGCTTCTCAAGCACAACTACAACGAACAACCGCGGACACTGTCGGGCTCGAAGAAAGCATCGCGCTAGGAGGGGGACAGAAGCGCCAACTCCGCGGCGAAAACAATCGACTCCACCACTTGCAAGCGAGATACCAGCTGGTGACACAAGCAGAACACGCAGTTCTTGATGTCTAAGTCAACTGTATGTGGGGATGCTTCTCGTAGACCTCGGCGAGGCATGCGTTGACTCCCAGGAGACCGAGCAAAAAGCCTGGCGGGGTAATTCTCAGATCGTAAATCCGCAGCTGCGTCCACGCGGCAGTACAGCGTTGGAATGCCTGCGAGCTGCGCAACGTGGGGCCTCTACAACCGTAGCAATCGCATCCAGTAGGAAGCCCTTCCCCCTATCCCCTCCCCCCCTACTTTGTCCCATCATCCCTGGCCGCTCCGAAATTCCCCCCGCCCTCTGGTCCGCCTGGACAGCGGCGCTGCTGCGGAATTACCGAAGGCAGCTGAATAATTCACGGAAATACACAACAAGCGCTGCTGCAAGGTCCCCGTCTTCGTGCCGCACGCAACTCTCCTCCGCTTCTGCGGCGAGCCTTCCGCTGCGTCGTGTCCACCTGGATCCCGCCGTTCCCCGACCAAGTTGATGACGCTGTCCATGTCGCGCTCTGCGCTTCTGATCTTCTTTGATTCGTCCACAAGTAACGCTCCTCTGGAAGACATGGCAGCGCCCGCCCTTCGGCCCGCCCTTTTTTCCTTCTTGAACCCGTTGGCCTTGACGCCAATAATGACCTGCGCATTGTCTGAGCGGGAGGGGTACTTGAATAAGTAGTCGCGCAGAGCTCCAACATCGAGAAGTTCGGGGCACGTAGGTGAAGGGCTGTCTGGGCGAGGCACGAGCGTCGAGTATTCCACGGCAGTTCTCAGAACAGGGATCTGCGGTGCCTTTTCTTTTCCCTTGGCAACGGCCGCGGCCCACTGATCCGAATCCTCTAGCTCCTTCCAGTACGCTGGTCGGGACTTCCCTTCAGGAACTAACTGAGGCGTCGAGTTGAGCACGGCAGCCACGACGCGGCCCAACCGATTGTCAAGGAGGTGACGGAGAAGGGCAGCGCGATAACGATTGCCCGCAGCCTCGGGGGGCTGATCTTCAGCTCCTGCAGCAAGGTCGATGCCAGGGGGCCGCCGCAGCCGCTAGCCCGCCACGACGACCGCGTAGGAAGGTTACGCGCAGCTCTCATATACATCTCCGTCATCCCGTGGTCTCCACCGCGCAACGTGTAGTCGCCCAGCGCTCGCCGTGCGGCCGCCTCGTCGTTCTGCCTCTCACATTGGCATTGCAATATATTCGCCGCGAGGCCCGCAGGGCCAGACTGCATGGATTCCTTCAGGTCGGGCTGACGTGGGAAGATGCCGTGCTTCTCTGAGTCTGGCAGAAAATTTGAGATCCATTCTTGATCCAAGAACTTCGACCTGATGCGGATCAATCGGCTGCGACGAAAAATAGCGTCGACTGCTGATTCAGGGACGCCTCCGAAGGTGATGAGTTTGTTCAGCTCCATTCTCTTCCAACCGATCAGAGTTATCACCTCGGTCAGCACGGCATACGGCAACCGACCGAAGATGCCATCAGCCGTGGCCATCTTTTTGAACAGGTCTTCCCGGAACGACTTTTTCATCCCCTCAGGCTTTTCCTGGGCGGTCATCGCAATGGAACCGACGAGGGATTCCACTTGCTTCCTCATTTCCTCGTCCATGTAGAAAACTTGCGGGTCGAAATACCGATGGAGAGTGGATCCCAACATATTGGACAACAAGGACGTCGTCAGTGAGAGTCCGACGCCACCGCTGCCCCAGAAGAAGAACACCTGATCGACGTTCATCCCTCGCTTGGCGAGAGCGATGGCCGCCTGGCAGCACTTAAACGCTGCCGCGTTCGCCCAGTACGTCTGACGGTAAAATGTTTGAACCCTCTGGATCGCTGCCTTGAGGACGGGATCCCCGAACCCATGAGACAGGAGTGAGTGCGGAAGACCAATGTACAAATTCTTGCGCTGCTCGGGCGTGGTCGCCTGGGCCAGCGTCCCCGACTGGGCGTCGTACATGAAAGCGACGTCTATGAAAGCGAATCCCTTCACGTCGGGCTTCGGGGTGCTGCACCATTCGCAATAATACGAAATCAAATCCCCTGTCTTGACCTTGGACTGCAAAGCGTGCCCAACTTTGGCAATGGCTTTGGCTTGGAAGATGTACCACGGCTCATCGGGCTGCTGCAACTCGAGCGCTGCGGGCGCAGCGGCGGCGCCTTCGTCTGCCTCGAACACGTTCTCGCCATCATCGCCTCCTGGCATGATGCCCTTCCCTTTGCCATTGCCCTTGCCATCTTCGCCAATAGCTCCCTCTTCTAAGAGGCCGTTCCCTTTCCCCTTGCCCTTCGACCACATCTTTGAGCCGTAATTTAAAAACGGCAAAGGATGAGGCGAAGGCCCGCCACGTTTGGCGGGCCTTCGCCTCATCCCTGCCCTGTCTATCAAACGAGCTGCCCACGGCAGCGAGGATGGCTGTATCATTCTTGCATACGTCGCCTGTGAAACTTCTAAACATCCCCTCCAACGACAGCAAGTACGACTTCATCAAATAATAAGTCGACTCTGGTAAAAGCCCATCAAATTTGTCGAAGCAGCCTAACTTGTCATTCCTGAAGTAGGCCACTCCATTATGTCCGCGCAAGAAGTCGTCTCCGAGGATGACGTGCAACAGCAAAACCAACTCGCGGGTGCAAGTATCAGAAAAACGCAGCCTGTAAACGCACAGCGCTCCCATGGCCAGGCGGCGAAGCCACGGTCTCCAGTCGGGCTGTCGCGCGGCAATCCACCTGCGGTACTGGGCAGTGATCGCGAGGATGCTGTCGTCCTCCCGCCTTGGTTCTGGAACCAAGCTCCTCACGAATGCGGCGAAGTTTTCCGCCTCGCCAAATAATGCGTCGAAATCGGCGGTGGACGCCGCTGCGCCTGGGATTGTCAGCCGCGTCCCCAGCGCGTCCGAGTAACTCCCCGCCTCCGTTGGATCGGCGTCGTCGTCGTCGTCGGCGGCGCCGACGCTCATCTGCGAAGCCGCCGCTGCCTGCCCTCTACTTGGATGTCGCGCCCGTCGTGCGGTACCTCCTGCTGGCGAACGCCCTTCTGCGGGCGGCCCCACCGCCGATGTCGCGGCGTCTTGGCTCGGCCGCGCGGCCTGGGCAGGCCCTCTGGCAGGCGGCGCCATCAGTCCTCGCGAACTGGAGGAGGCGCCGCCGCCCGCGCCAGAGTCGCGCGAAGGAACACATCTCCAGCTTTGTATCAGGTCGAAGTGGTCTGCGCCCGATACCTGGTGATGTCTTATGAAAACCGCCAGAGGGTACCTGTTACCGTAAGTAATCTGACACAGTGTGTCGGACTGCACGACGGCTTGTCCCTGAATTACCTCGCAGAAGGCTTCCATCTCGTCGAGGCCGGGG